CACCCACGCTGACGGTCTTTCTGTCCCACCCCCCGTGGCCAGGGGGTGGTACACAATGCCTGGTGACTGCTCCGGCGACGCTGCTCTAAAGCTTTCTCTCCTCTCTTCGCGCCTAGCTTCACCTGCACTACGCGGCTCCTTACCGGCCTGATCACTGCCTCTCACCTAGGCCTCTCGTAGGATCAACGTCACTTTGCTTTGCATCAACGCCGTTCAGTATGCTAATAGGAAGCTTCTGGTCGCTCGTGTGGTGCTTTTGATCTTGAGCCCTCTGCTTCTTGTAATATTGCGATGTTACGCGGTTGAACTGACTGAAAAAGAGGCAGAAGGTTTAGTTGGATTGGTTTTGACGATTTTGTAAGGAGTTTTTATTCAAATGTACATATGTGAATATAATTCGAAATGTGTATGTGTATATAAATTGAAAAATCTTAGGACAATTATTACATTAACTTAAAACTTGGAAAAAATTCAGTAGTTAATAAAGACATTAAGCTGCTGATCATATGTTACAAGACCGACCTCCGAGCAGCGCAAGGAACCGGCGGAGATATTTCATGGAAATATGGTTAGAGTGTGTTAACAGGTTTGTGGACGAACCACGCGCGAAGCCGAAGAACCGGTAGGGATATTGTTTGCGAAAGCAAACCTGATGCGTAATCAGGGAACTTTTAAAATGAAGCCACTTGCGGACGAAAATGGCCTTAGGAAAAAGCTCAACGAACCAGACGCGCAATGGGGGAATCACTGGAGAAGACAGTGCAAGCGAACTCGATGGGAAATCGAGGAGGTTCTAGAAGGTTGGAAAATAGCATAGACGAACTTGAACGCGAATCTGGGAGCTATTAAGCGAAGATGAACCTAATACGAAATCAGGGAATTGCAGGAGAGATTTAGTTTTCGTGTACGAATCTGATGCGAAATTGGGGATCCACTGGGTTGGAAAGATCTTTTCTGTATTGAGACGCACGCGCGTGCGAATGAACATAATAGGAAATCAGGGAGTCGTAAGAAATGTTAATAAGCCGTCGTAACTTTGATTAACGAAAATCGACACGAAAGTTCATTAGTGAAGATGGAGAAACTGATTTTGAAGTTTCTCTAAATACACGTGCACTTGACCATATCTCAAAGAATAGTACCATAATTCTATGCAAATATAAGTAATCTACGTTTTGGATAAAATATTTATTTTTTTAATTATCAATTTTTAAAAATATATATGTACATAAATTAATCACAAATTAAATCAAAAATTAAAAATGTTCTAAATGACAATAATTTTATTATATTTTTAATTCAATTTTTATAAATGGATAATTCTAATTTGATAAAATTTTCATTATAATATTATAATTTTTCATTAAAAGAAACAGCCTCGTTTATTCATAGCATATAATATTTTATTAATCGCGCAAACAAAAATCAAGTAGAACGGTGTCGCGTCGAACTGCTGTTCCATTTCGTCCAACTTGTTCTTGGCCAAGTGCACACGTACTCGACGAATTTTTAAAATCGATTTCTCTCATAACCTGCTACGAAAAAACTTCATTCCACATTCTCAACTCATGTTTACACAAGAAATAATTTGCTTGTTGATTGTTGAGTAAATTTTACATACTTTCACTAAATCTTGTGCGGTAACAACCATTACATGCAAAATAAATTCACAATAATCAAGATATTGTTTTTGACATTTCTGTAGTTGAAGCTGAACAGGTTATACACCTCTTTTCAATAAGAGATCTGTCTATTGCACAATAAATTATTAGTTAATAATGTTAATCAATTAATAAGTAACAAAATGCAGATAAGAGATTTATTTTCTTTGACTTGTATTTTATAAAATTTATTTGTAAAATTTTCTTTATTTTAATGTCAAGTTTGTATTGGTTATGTGAGAAAAGCAATTGAATGCCAACATTATCTTTTTCTTTGATTTTAAAATTAAATACATATTTCTGTTAGTGCGTTAAGCATTTCAAAGACATTATACTGAACGTTATAGTGTATTTACAATATGCTACTAATCACAGATACTATTGGTCTTTCACAAAAGTTCGTCGATTTGGACCTAATTATTTCCATTTTCAATTATTTATTAAAATAAATAAATCATGAAAATAAACTGATCGTGTGTAGTTTACTAGCGATATTGATAATTTGTAACTTGTGACATAAAATTTCATTAAAAATATTAATTCAATGGTGCAAAAGAGCTCTGGGATTCACGACAGAATAAGAATGAATTTGAATGAGTTATCCATGTTACATGCATGCATACGATTAAACCGAGTAGTTCGAGTCAGTCTTTTTTCTTTTTCTAAAGAAGCACGACTATTTTGCTCAATCTCGTGTAGCACGAATTTCGCGTGATTTCTACGCGACACTTAACGTATACACGTGATTTTTATCGTTGATCACAACGTATTACTGTACGAGCACCGTGTTGATTCGCGTTTCGTGGCCCCGAGACCATTTTCGAGTTGCGTGGCTCATTTGCAATGATAACACGGAAACAAAGTCAAGGCCGTTCGAACACAATGCATTCGAATAACAAAAAGAAAAAAGGTAATACTTCAAAGAACGATTCGCCTTCGTCTAACATTATATTCCAAATGCTTATCCTATTTTCCTTGATTCTAGCCAGGAACGAAGGGAATAATAAACGCGATTCACGAATCTAAAACGCGAGAAGGCTTTTCTGTATCGCTCGTCGGAAAACAAAACGGAAAAATAAAACAGAACTTTAAACGCAGAGGCGGTAGCCAATTAATTTTCACGCCGTCTTCCTGCTCTTCGCTCAACGATTCTTTTCGGATCTCTACCTAATTTTAATTATCTTCCAACACACGAAAAAACTGTGCGATGCTTTGGTTTTCTTCTGTTTAACGTACGATCCGCGTCTATTTACGTGGTTCCAAGTAGTAAAGCCAACTGGAAACTGTGTCAAATGAAATCGTTAACGAAAAAAAAGAAGGGCTCGACGGTCTTGCAATTGACATATAAATTGTCTTTGAACTCACACGTAATTAGTCATTGGAACATTAACCCACTATTAGAATCAGTGAATCGTGGATGACCCACAAGAGCTGGAATTTCAGAGTAGCTTATCTTAATTTGAATCTTATATTCTACGCGATAAAGACCAGCAATGTATTTTAAAATTAAATACCTATGATCATAGTTATGATAATAATAAGGATAATGGTAAGGAGCGGATGAAAAATATACTACGTACCTGCGAAAGAATCACGAGGTAGCTGAGAACACGACTCGAAACCGGCGATTCATTCCACTTTGTTTCTGGATAGGTCGGTACACGCGATTCGACGTCAGTGATCGAACATCAGACTTTCCTCGGTGTGGTTATCGGTGTATCACAGTTTGTAGATCCGACGCATGCCCCACGATCGACCATCGTTTCCATTAATTACACTCGCATTTCAGCCTGGCACTGTGTCGCGCCCCCTTTCATTCACACCCATCTCCTTGAGCGCACGTGTTCACCTAATTCTCGTTTAATATATCTTAGTATCACAATGGACGATTTTTTATATTTTTCTATCTTGCTTGTGTTTAATAATTTATATACTTCCTCCGCTTCTTATTCCTCCCCGTCTCTCTTTCTTCTTCTTCGTCTTTTGCTCTTTAATATTTGTTTATAACCTTAAGTTTAGAAATCACAGTCGCGAATTGATACGGATCACCGTAGCATGTGCAGCTGCTGTTGCCGTTGTTCTCTCAGAAACGAAACCACACTGTCTCGTATACCCAGCATGCCCTTCTATCTTTCTCTTATTCTTTCTTTATCATTCTCAACACGCTGCACACGATTGGTACGACTAGTCACCGATTATTCTCCTTGAGATACGATGGTTAGTCGTTGAACGATTCTCGTTTTCGAAGGGCTCCACATACACGCTGTTCTCTTCAGTTTTATTTTGCCTTCTCTTTTTTTCTTCCTTTTTCTTTTCTATATTTATTAATAATCGTTCTAGGACGGAATGCGCGTGATTCGTTCGCCAGCCGTGTGTGTGCGGGCCGTCTCTCACCTGTTCGACACGAAAATTCGACACGAGAGAAAGCACAGGATTATTCCGCGTCTATCTGCCTCTGAAAGGAGTTTCACTATCGACCATCAATGCGCACGTGCAGCCGACGGGCAATGTGCCGAATCCTCTCGCTCGTCGTCACTCTGACGAGGAGGCCACATAAAAACGACGTCGACGGGGCGCCTCTCAGAATCGAGACTCAGCTACGAGTTGCGAAAAACGAGTTATCGCAGTCGCGTACTTCCTCGCCTTGTTTCGTTCTTGCTGCACCCCTCGTTTCTTCGCTACAAAGCGATTCTTCACATTCGGCTTGGCCACGCACGAGCGTCGAGGTGCCATCCTCTCGTTTTCTCCACCGATCTGCTATATTCGCTTTCCTTTTCTTCTTCGATCCACCTCACGTTCTCTATTTCTTTCTTCGTCCCCCCTATTACTCTCAATTTTCTTTATTTCTTCCTCTTTCTCGTTATTACTGATCACCGTGCGTTTCGTCTCCCTCCGTCGACGATGTATCCAAGCATCGTTTGAAAGAAGCAGATGTGGCGATCGTTGTTCTCCCCCGTCGATCCTGTCAAAAATGACACATCTCAGCTAAGTGTCATCGTCACTGAACGTCGGTGCGCATCTCCGGCGGCAATTCGACGGCATGGCAACCTACACACGTAACAAGACTCGGTGGCGCGATAGTCTCGATGCCGTGCGACCGTCAATCGATCGAAAATCATCTGCCCGCTTCGAGTCGTACTCCTCCGTTCCTCGCTGACACGCTTCGACTCGATCCAGCCGTGTTCCTCGCAATCCCATCGACTCTTCTGCTCCAAGTAGGGAGCGGGAAGGGAATCGACGTTGACTGACGACAACGACCACCGCGACAAGCTGTCACTTTGTTCTTGATGCTCGCCTCGTTTATTCGATCGCCACACCGTTTCTAACGATATATCCGTTCCGGGTTCTGGCAACGGCCCCTAACGACATCTGATTTTCTTCGATTGCGATCCCGCCGCTTTTCCGGCAATCAACCCCGCTCTTCCTCCCCTTTTATCCAAGCCTATCAGTACCTGTTCTCACTTGCCTTCTCTATTTTTTCTCCTTTGACTTTTCTATCTTCGTCGTCCGCGTTATTCGGATAGATGTAGCCAGTCTACACTAGTGGCCGCGCACACGCTTCCTCTGTCTCTCTCGCTCAATCGCGACCAGCCATTATTACCGAGTAATCCCGCGACTGCTTAATTACTCTCGATACCGCACTCACCGCCAATATATCTCGATACTTCCCCCTCGAAGCACGAGACACCGATGACACGGTCTGCTCGCGTGACCCGTTTACGTTCCGCAATTTCCTTGCCCGTGATATCACCAGCTTCTTTTCTCTCTTTCTGTTTCTCTCCCTTCCCCTTTTTGTCTGCTTGTCTATCTAAATTGTCCTGTCTACAGTTCACTCTACGTTGTCCGCATTCCACTCTTCCGAGGACCGGTTGTTCGTTTCGACGTGTGGCGCACCGTTGGTCCTTTTCTGCGACTGTCAAACGAAAAGAGACTCGTTACGAAGAATCGAACAGCACGATGTCCACGGTGTCAAATGTGTCGAGCTGCTTCAATTGTTTCTTTATTTCTTTTATTTTTTTTTTTTCTTACTGTTAGGGACACACGCGCGCGCGAATTTCTCCTTGTCTTTCCTTTTCCCCCCACCCCGTTTCCCTTTAGTCACGGTTATCTCTTAACCTCGACACCTATGATTCCTCTTACGTTTGCTTCTGTCTCCCTTTCTCTCCCTCACACGCTCGCACTCACCTCGTCCAAACGTACACTCTCTTTCGTTTTCTCTCTCTCGCTCTTCTTTCTCTCGCGACTTTCATTCATTTCGACATACTCGAAGGGCGCGACGTTTCCTTTAAGACGATCCTATACACGCGCCCCGCTCCTGTCCTTATCGATTATGACGCATACTGCATGGAGAAAGGCTGCCCACCCGTCGACGACCAAAAAGGATTCCCCGCGTGAACAGTTCGCAGATCCCTCTGTTCGCCTAGCCCACGACAAGAGAATCCGCGAGAATCCGTGCACGGGTGTCGCAAGTGTGTGTATGGGTGCCTGCGGCAGCCGTGTTACGTATACAAGCGTAACCCCGACCTCGATGTTAGGCGGCTGATAGCCGGCCTCACACTGATACGGCTCCGTCGTTACGACCACGGGC